ATGGTGAGGTAGATGGCTGCGTGATGGTGAGGTAGATAGCTGCGTGATGGTGAGGTAGATGGCTGCGTGATGGTGAGGTAGATAGCTGCGTGATGGTGAGGTAGATGGCTGCGTGATGGTGAGGTAGATAGCTGTGTGATGGTGTGGTAGATAGCTGAGTGATGGTGAGGTAGATAGCTGCGTGATGGTGAGGTAGATAGCTGCGTGATGGTGAAAAGGATGAGTGATAAGGTGTGTAGGTAGCGGAAATAAACTATTTGCAACAAATAATTCATGCTTTGCCAGTAATAAACATCGGGATGTTGCCGTCGTCTGGCCCCGACGTAAGCAACAGTCCCCTCACTCCCCCAGTCTCCGAGGGGAGAAGCTCGCTACATTACCAGACAACCGAGGGGAAAAAGGTATAAATTCTCCCTTCTTTCCGGCCACATGACGTTGAAACAATGTTTATGACGAGTTGATGATGTTGAAGCAGCGTCTAATTAACGCAAATAGACGGAACGTCCAACGTTACATCCGGGACCCGAGGGCGGGGTGACCTGCCTAGCGACGACTCGGACACGGAGGACGACGAAGGCGGCGCATCAGTGTGACCGAGGACTACAAAGTCCTAAACTCATCACAAGGTCATAAGGTTAGGTGATTCAAACGTCACTTTCCTGGTGAGATAACAACTGTTCAGTCGCGTCCTCAGATTCACGAGGGGAAATTTCGAGGGGAGTTTCCTGAAGCTGCGTCGGTGAGAAGCGTGTCTGATGTGAGCGCCCTTGATCTTACGTCTGCCGAATCTCAACTTGTCGAAACTTTCTTTAGAACATTACTCAAGTTTTCAAAGTTTTTTTTCGATGATTGCCTCGGTATTTTGTGCAGGGAACTTGGGTTACCTAATCAAGTTAGACAATGAATGATTTATATGAGGGAGAAGTCCAGTGAGAGTGAATGGCTGTTTGTGGTGATGGTGAAGGTGATGGTGATGGTGATGGTGATGAAGTTGTTTATTGAATTGTTGTGATAACGGGGGCAGAGGGAAGAAAAGAGGGATGCATGATTGTTTAGTGAGAAAGGGAAGGTAGAATGAGGGTAGAGTGAGGGACGAAAATAGTAGGATGCTTGTTAAAGGGGGTTGATACAATGTTAGAGTGCAGGTAGAGTGCTGGTAGAGGGGATTTAGAGTGCATGTTTCCATGATGTTAAGGAAGTGTATAAAGTAAAGAAACATACACAACTAATACCACGATAAGCCATTGGATATATTGAAGCCTGACAAGTTATACATGGGACAGCCGTTGGGAACAGTGATGCCTGGTATGAATTTCCTTGGCCGGATAACAAATTTTTAAATGAAACGTAAATTCTTTCACCTACTAATGCCCGAATTTCTCAATTGATATTTTAAAATAAAGAATTAGTGCTGGAAGTGATGAACGTTTTCCATCCAAAAACAGAGGAGCGGGAAAGTCTAATTCATCATGAATGCAGGTTGGCTGCAATCAGGAATTACGTGAGGTTAAAAAGTGATTGGCGCTAAACCAAGTCGCGTAATTTTCAACCAATGAAAAAATACAGTCGGCAGTTTGTCGCCCGATTTTGATTGATGCCTCAATTTGGGAGAGAGATTTGGCACCAGTCCATCTCCTGCTTCTCCCCTC